GAGTAATCAGCAGCGAACCGCTTCAACACGTGTATTTTGACAACCCAATTTGTGTTCTTTGAAATCGAAAAGGATATCGCATCGTGTTTGTTACTTTCGTTGCAGCTGTGTCTTAAGTGTAGTTTGGCTTGGCTTCCTATTTATGGACATGCTTTTATTTTGAAGGAGAGGTAGCGCTGTTGACAGGAAATTGTTGTTGCTATGGAAACAAAGTGACCGATATTAACGGAGAAAAGTCATATCTACATATAAAGACTGAGAAAGTAAACAATAACGTTTATGGTTAAGTGTTAGCACCCCACGAACAAGCTCTTACGTTGATATTGGAGATTTCAATAAATTCAATTTGAGAAAAAAAAACGAAAAAACCAAACGAATAACGAAATTGAAACCCGAATAGTACTCCAACGAACGAATATTCGGATATTCGGGTACAGCCCTAGAAGATAATATACAAGTTTTTCTCCAAGTTATCGACTCATCTGTACTAAAATATGAAAAGCCCACTAATTCGTGTCACTAGATGTGTAAAAGAGTATCACTAAAGACACAATAAAATACCACATGTCCCAAAAGATATGTTGCTCATTCATGCCGACGGCCTCTTATATAGAATCAATTCCTCTGGATATAGATTGGACGTACTATGAAGTGTAATCTAACTTGTCTTACAGTAGCTAGCTCTTATCACTTATCAAATGTAAAATGATAACCTTCTGATCTGGTAGGATAATAGATAATATGTGATTAGTGCTGTGCAAATACACCATGATACTTACAAATGAATAGTGATATTGACATCATGTTAATAATACTCTTACGATTATATTGAGTAAATAACGCAGGGCTTCTTAAATCATTACTGGGTTTTTTGACTTTTCGTACAGTTATGGTGACAAAATACTAACGTGGAGAGCAAGTCTGAAGACAATTTGTTTCCCAAAAAAGCATCGAAATGCAGAAAAAGCTAATTAGATTTTCCTTCAAATGTTCTAATCATTGCTTTGTATATCTGAGCCCTAGTATGAATTAAATGCTACAGCAGAGTCTCACCCTCTCATTATTGCTCTAAAACACCTCGTCACAAATGTCATTTAGTGGTGACATGTAATCAATAATCTCCGATCCGGCATCAAAGAGCATCCAAACCATTGGA